ACTTTCCGCTACGTGAAAAATATACTTACTCTTAATAATTTAAACTTATCAAATTGCAAAAATACATTGCAATAAATTGTAATTGGACAGATTTTTTTATCGGATATATCGATATTTTTAATTTGTGCTAAATAAAGATAATTTGTATTTTATTGAAATTATTACGTGATATGCTCGTACATAAAAATTATTTTGAATAAAAATTGAGAAAACCAAGTAGTTTTATAAAAAGTATTTATAAACTTGAAGTAAGTAAATAACAAACGTTATATTATCGGGATATTAGTCAAACATTATAAAATGATTTATCCTTGAATATTAATAGCAAATTTTAATAAAATTAATTCCATAGAATAGGAATACAAAAATTCCTCCATCATTTCGATTCGTTAATATTTATTTTCGTTACTTCGTCACAAAATTATTAACATATTTAATAATATTTTCGTTCTTTCGTCAAATTTAATAAGTAACTATTGTAATATAAATAAGGGAAATACATAATAAATTAGTATGAAATGAAACTTCGATTTACCTTGAATTATATGCATTATATAGATTCCTTTGCCATCTATCGAACCAAGACAAATAGAAATTCGTCTTATTTATTTACAGTATATCAATCAAAAGTTATATCTAATAAGTAAAGAAATAATAATAATGACGACGATAAAATATTTGCTCACATAAATGCATATCATTAAATAACAAGGATACACATTCAAATCAAATGTTTTTAAGGAACTCTCATTTTAAACAGTACTTTAGTGATAATATAAAATAGAGTGAGAGCAAAGGATATTGAGTTCATTGGAAAAAGTAGCTCATGAATTCTTGTAATACTTACTGATAACATTATATTAGGAAATTTAGTGCCTCTGTTAGAATGAATGATAAAGGGTTTGACTTTCAATGCTCGATGACTAGATTTGAATACCCTAGTCTCTTTAAAACGCTATTAGTAATAGTTGCCGTTGGCCGTCAGTAACAAAATTGATTACGATATTATTAGAAAGTAGATAATACGGAGGATAAATTTAAAAATATAATAAATAAAATAAACGTTTAGTAATCTTCGATGTAAGATTAACATTTCATGCACAATAAATTGACTAATAATATAAATAAAATTAATTTCAATTATTTCATTTACCTGGCTATTTAACATTAAAACAATATATTATTAGATAATCAACAACTATTTATTATAAGGAAATTGGTATTTTATCGAAAAATTCCTATTAATAGATTAATATATTTGCATACAGTAATTTTAATTGATATGTTGTCATTGAGAAGAAAAATTTCTTTTTCGTTATTATATGAAAAAATTAAACCATAATATTTCATACGATAAAAATACGATACTACGGAAATAGATAAAAATTCAGCACTTAATTGAATTATTTACTTAATTTATCATTAATTATCGCCATTTTCAATTTAACTCTTAGCACATTTCGTTTATATATACATTAAATTAAATAATATAATTAAATTAAACAATTAAAATCGAACTCTAATATATAAAACACGAAGACATTCGTAAATAATTGTATGAAAAGAAGTGTTATTATATTAATTGAGTTTGTGCTCGATTATCAATAAAACTATATGAATGTAATGAGAGAAAAAATGCCAAACGGAATAGAAGAAATAAGAGAATATAATTAAAGCAAACGCAAATCAATTACAAAATAAAAGAAAAGAAAAATTGCATAATGACAGTCGCATTATCACAATTAAATTAATTGAATGCAATCTGTTGAGAATGTAAATCAATCCTGTATCGTAATAAGAATATTTAGCACAAAAGACTTTATGCTATAAAGGCCAATGGAATCCGGCGATATATTAAATTAAGCGCCAGATCGTATTGACAGGGTGTAAAATTCAATTAATGCATACTTTTTAATCAGCCTCCCGTTGCGAAAATAAAAGCGTAATAATAACGAGGGATTGTCAATTTACAGGCAGTTGATCAATGCGCGTTCGCCATTGTCGCACGTAGAGTTTGCTCCTTAATTAAACGGGTGGGCTCGGCCCCTGTAATCTGGCCTATTGTTTTTGCCGAAAGTGCGAGGACTGCATCGCTCGCAATTTGCACGACGCTTCAGGATGTGACTCGTGTAATACTGCCAATAGCCCACTTTTATACGAGGACGTTAAACTCGTCTTGTTATCTTCTTTTTTTTTCTTTATTCTTTTTCTTCCTCGTCCTTTTAATCGTCGAGAGCGCTTGATGACAATTTAAGCAATTGCAAGAGCACAGTGAGCAATCGCCCTAGATTTAATGAGAATCGACGATTCGTTCAGAAAACATAAATCGATTCTCGCTTGTAAGTAAGGATAATTTAATCATATATACAATTGACACATTTCCCTCATAATGAATAAAGTATCTTAAGCGAGTGTAAAATATCTTTTTTGAAAATTTATTCATCTAACGAGGATAGAGATTACAATTATTCTTGCGATCATTGAACATTTGTGAAAAACCTCGGGGGACAAGAAAATATCAAGCGTTACGCATAGAACGCATAAGTAAATTCATCGCTTACTAACGTATTATTTCAATCGCATACTGAACTTGAGAATATTGGAAGAAAAAAAAAAGAACAAAACTCCGAGATAATAATTCAAGTCGCTTATGTATTATCGGCCCATTGCGCACTAGGAGAGCGGAATGCGTTAAATAGTCGCTACTCGCGTCGATATTCCTCGACTCGTTTCTCGCGTACGACCGATCTATCCCTTTGATACGGATATCCAAGATGTTCGTCTCTGCCACTTCGTCCTGTAAGTCTTTCTTTTATCATCGTTGCCCATTGGGGATTTGCCGAAAGCCCCACTCCGATATTCTTCTTGCGACTGGCGCTGAAACAGCTATCGCGTAGTAATCGATTCACATTTCATTTTAGGCTGTTATCATCCTTTCTCGTCATCCGCTGATGCTTCGTTTTTCTTTGTTTTTTTTTTTTTCTTTTTTTTTTTCACAATCGTACATATTTATAGCACGATGCGTTACTTCAGCTCGTCTGCATATGAAAGTGGATCATTGTCATAAATAATAAATAATAAATTGTTAAAATTAAATTTACATAAGAGTTAAATCAGCAAATTTATTTAAATATATCACGATCGTATCGTACGTCAACCGTAATTTAACAAACTTCGTAAGAAGAGTAAAATTAAAATTTATTCAATACCTTCGTCAATTACGTGTCTGTATTTTTTTTAATTTCATTAATGAAAATGATGACAAAAATTAATAACTAACAGCATAGTGCTAATGTAATACTAAAATCGATCTCTTAAACTAAAGAATATGTGTTGAACACGTTAACAAAGTATCTAATTTTCATCAATGCTTATTCCACTTTAAAACACATAATTGCTTAACTTAATATATCATCTACCAACTAATACATTCCATTGATAGCTTACGCGCGCGTTCAATAGGCTCTGTACTTTTCAACATTGTTTTCTACTTTCCCGTATTGGCGGTACAAATATAATCAACGGTGAATTTAACAATTAGCAGCTTTCCATATTTTTACTTTAATGGCAATCATTGTGCAAATCAAAGATACAAAATTGACAGTACGTGAAAAAATAATAATAAGATTATTTTAACGTAAACAATAACCCGAAAATGTCCGTCATTGTCAATCACTTTATTAACATTTTTGCTAAAAGTATATTAAATACAATTATATAATAAATTCAAAAAGAAACTAATATTGATAGTTGGTACAAGTAAGGTTAATTATTTCTTACACTATATATATACATATGTATTTGAAATGAAATAATTTAATATAAGATTAACTTTAATGTGAAAAAAACTTACGTGAAATTGATTTGAACTTATAGAAATTCAATAATTTTATATCTCATACTTGTTAAAATACAATAAACTTGAGTCGAGTTAACTCATTTTTAATATACTCGTATACTTTTTATTTAAGATTTTCTAATATTATACATAATATAAAATGTGAATTTTAACTTTTATGAATTTTTTAATTTTCAACGGAATATTATATTTATCAATAAATTAAATACACTAGATCGAAGGAGAAAATGGATGTAGGAATATTTTAATGTATATAACAGCTTTGTAAGTAACTATTAGATTACATTAAATTACATATGCGCATAACGTGTGCAAGATTTAATAAATTCGTACACACGAAATTTACCGACGAAATTTTAAAGATATCTACATTCTAATAAATCATTAAATTTAACCAAAGTATAGTATTCGGATACATAAATATAACGACAATGAATACAAATCGCCCAAGAATTTCCACTAAATTGTCACTTTCTTGGTAAAGATAATAGCGCATTGATATAGCACATATTTAATTCCTTGTTTATTCATTTTTTTTTTTTTTTTTATCTCAATAAATATTCTTTTTACACATTCGGTGTTATTTATAAAATATTGTAAAATATATATTTATTAATATATTTTAATAAAATGTTATAAATAAGGCGACCGATGTAGAATAATCCTATTTGTGGATTCGCGTATGTGATTCGGCCTGAGCATTTATCAATTATGAATAGGGCGAAAAAAAATTTTTCTACAGATTTATAATAAAAAGGTCGACCTAATGATAAGCGGCTTTATTCGGACGCTAATCGTAATCAGAAACTTCCGCTTGTGCGACGGATGCTCAGCAAAATAAGCCTACCGACGCTCGCGCACTTATTTAATCGAATTATCCTCGCGTTACAATCACCAAGTGAAATTGACGTTCCAGTTTACGTCGCTTGTGTGCGAATTATGTACTTAAATAGAAAAAATCGGTTGTCCTTGTTAATCAATACAAAGTGACAAATTATAATATTCCCTTAAAAACATTAAACGGGAATTCCGGTAAGAATAAATGTTGAATAAATAGATATGAGACAAGCATAACTGAGTAATTAAAAGTGACATGTTTATTCCATAACTATAATTGGAAATTTTTCTTTTTTGTTTGAAGAAAATGGATGGTAACAAGGATGGAGTAGTGACGCTGTCAGAGTTTCTTGAGGCCTGCAACTCTGACCCAGAAATAACGACGAACATCGCCGCCCTGGACACGGCCTTCTGACACGCGGCACGCCCCCTTTACTCAGCCTGGACCTGAGGACTGAAGCCAATGCTTCGAGCAGCCTCTAAATTTCGAGAAACGACGAGCGCAAATGCACTCACGCATACACTTACATACGTACATACACGAAGGCGCGCAAGCGCCATAGGCAACGGAGAAATGACTTGAAGCAGATAAATAAGTCATCGCTATTCGAGTGCAAAATTAAATAATCGAAAGTGGCTAGAGACATCGATGAGGTCGCTACAATTATCCTACAAATTACAAAGGAGAAGTTTATTGAAATAAATGTTAAATGCGTTTGTTTTATTGGATTTTTCTTTTTTCGATTTCATAATTAAGCTCGCGATGACTGCAGTTACAGACTCACAAAAAAAGTATTTCTGCATTGTCTGTATGGTGGGAAAATGTTAGATGATTGAGTTAGTCGATGTGTCAAAAGTATCAAAAGTACCGTAATGGATTTTGCGAGGCACGCAATAAGGAGACAATCGATTCCAAATGACATCTTGTAGGAGCGATTATTGCCGATATTATTGATTGAGAAAAAAATATTAACGAAGAGAAAAACAATATGAAAAGATGCGATCGATCGATGTACCGATGACGTAATAATTAGTAGCCCCCGTAAAAAGTACAGAATGAACGTCTGAAATGAAGAAACGATATTTATAAATTAAGTCGCATAAAAGTGACTGTATTTTTTCAAATTCGAGATGACACTATTTATACAAAAAAATAAAAGGAAGAACGTTAGAATGATAGGGATCTTTTTAATTTTTTTTGTTTCTGTTTTTTGTTTTATTATTTTCTATTTCGAGCACAATATAAATAACATGCAAGTTCTAAACTGAAGAAAATTCTAAAAAAAAAAAAAAAAAATTTAAAATAAAAAAAATTAAAAAAAAAAAAAAAAAAAAAAAAATGAGAGAGAGAAAAGAAAGGAGAACTAGATCTATCGATAAAAAGAATGAACGGTGCCAAATAATCCACGTGTTGACCTTATAGCTTCTTTTGTTATCCTATTAAATAAAATAAAGTGATTAAAGTGGAAATGCATGAAAAAATATATAAAAGTGACATAAGAAGCGAGTTTATTACTCACAATATAGTTGTTATACATGAAATTATAGTTTAATATACCAAGTGCAAAATACTAGTACAGTGACTTGAAAATTTTTTTTTTATTTCTTTCTATATTAATAAATTGATCAATGGCCTTTATTGATTTTATACATTAAGATATAAAATAAAAATGATTTTCTTCAGTTTTACTGATGATATACGCATCGTCACGTAAAAGCAAAATCACCGTTCATAAAACACCTGATTTTTTACAAATACTCCCTATATTTTTCGAATCAAATTCGTATAATTTATTTATTTAATAATATTTCTTCAAGTAATTATTTTTATTTATAATCAAACCAACGAATTATTAATAATAACAATAAACGAATATCATTAAATATTTTATTGTTTTTAAAGATATGTCAATGAGATCTTTTTTATTGCTTTATATACTATCAATAAAATAAAATTTAACTTTTAAAACTGTGAAAAAATCTTAATTGAATTTGAACAAATATTTACACGCTAATTAGAAATATTACTTTTCTTCTAGTGAAATTTTATTACGGATTTTGATCGAAAAATTTAGTTACATATTTATATGCGGATCGTTCGATTTTTATCAATCAAAAATTGATAAGTATATTTTGCTCCAATGTGTTATATTGATACGATTTTTTTATAAGAAAATAATCAGAAGAAAAGAATTTCGCCGATGTAATAAACTATATTTAAAAAAAAAAAAAAACAAAAAAAAAAAATAGGAAATAGACTCTTGGGCAGATGAATATATGAAAAAAAAATTAAGTTTTTGTGTAATAAAATTAGCATCAAAACAATTAAAAAAATTAAACATTAAAACAGGGAGATCAGATATAATGAATGCGCGCATTATATAATAAATAAAATTGTTAATAATTACCTGAATTTACAATAGTAAGCGAAAATTTCTATTTGAAAATAAAATCAATTTTTTTTATAAATTTTTTCGTGTTCCTTCAATAAAATTATTAATGGCAAGCCTACGAAAATCGTTCGTTGTTCTAAAATTAAAGAAACCTAACGCATATAAATAAATATATATATATATATATATATATATATCCACATAAATAAAATAAAAACTTTTATTTTTATGACAAAATAGATTTTAAAAATATAAAACCGCCTGATAGAACATTATGGTAAGATAATTATGCTGTTAAAAATAAGAAATCAATGAAAACAAAATTGTTTTCTTAGACGATTAAAGTTCTATAAAATACTAAATCTATTGCTATCCTATTTCTGTAATTGAGATTTTGTAATTTCTGTTTTACACAAAAGCTTTTAGAGAGTTCTCTATAAGATATCTCTAAGTATACAATTATTTTCTCAAAAAGAAAACTTATTAAAAATAGTATTCTCCAAAAATTAAATATTAATATTAATAAATATAAATTATTTTCAAACTACAGGAAATCAAAAATTAAATACTATTTATATTCTTATTAATATTTACATATTTTCAGTTAAAATTCTTTCAATGTTTTTTTTTTTTTTATTTTCACATATATTCATATTGGAATAGAGCCAATTTAATATATTCATATATATAATATGAATTTAGTTGAAAATTGAAATACAAATTAATAGAATGATCTTTCATTTCAAATTAAATTTTTAATGAATTTAAGTAATAACCTTTTATCTCAATTTGATTTTTTAACTCAGTTTGATAAAAAAACTTCATGAAATTTAGTTTTATTCATTCTTACTATCAATATCATATATGAACTTTGTAGAAATCTCATTACTTTCCTGAAAATGAAAAAATTACAATATATAGACGATTTCGGATTTACATTAGGAAAATTTACACGAATGACCTTCAATTAAAGTTAAATAAACTATTTCTAATCTATTGAGAAAAAAAATACTTATTTGTGTATTTTATTAAAATTCATTTGTAATTATTATAAATTGTCATTAAATCTTATTTTTATTTTATTAAATAATAGTGCATCAAAACTTATTATAAAACGTACGTCATATTTTTACATTTACTACATATGACGAATAAATAGTTTATCAATAGAGCTTTATGCCTTCTAAATTTACTATCGTTAACAAATTACATTCTACATTTAAATTTTTAATTCCTGTATTTAAATAACTATTCAATACAGGAAAAATGATTAGCTAAATTTGAAAATAAATTGTATTAAGTGTAAATTATTTGTATAGCATTGAGAATCTTATAATTTGAGTATATGAAATTTATTAAAATTTTATTAAATAATTTAAGAAATGATTAATAAATTTCATTACCTTAGTTATCTAGAAAATTATAGTGTTTCTGTATCAAAAATACTATTCAACTATTGCTAAAAAAATAAAAAGAAATATCAATCAATATAATAAAGATAAAAGAATATTTAATGAAAATATTAATTTTTGAGTTTTTAAATAAAATAACTAAATACCATCATATATATAATATTAATGAAATATGTTTATTATTAAATATATCAAATTATAAAGTAAATTTTATTTAATTACTGTTTTTATTAAAGACAAGTAAATTTTCCAAAAGGAATTTCATAAACAGTAATTACTTTATATCACATTATATATTAATAACTAAATTTTAATTGAATATTATAAATGAATAAAAGTTTAGCGAATATAAAATTATATATTATTTTTATATTTGTTTTTATAAAAGAATATTTGAACGATAATAACAAATTAAATTGAACTTAATAAGATAAGTTTATATTTTTCAAAAAGATTTATGAAAAATGTTATAATCTCAAAAGTATAGGAAAGCATTACGATACAATATTTTTTATGAAATATAGCAAAATATAAAATTGAAATTATGAACAATACTCTCATGGAATTTATAACAAATTGCATAAATACTCTCTCTAAAAAAAAAAAACTTATCTAACTTTTCATTAATTTTAAAATTAATTAAAAAAGAGAAAAGGTACTAAAATTTAACATTAAAGGAAATAAATAGAGATAATATATTTTTTCTGTATTAAACTCATATTATCGAATAATAATAATAATAATACATTATTTCTTTTATCGTATAAAAACGTTAAATTAAGTAAACTATATCATTGAATTAATTTTAAGCAAAATTTACACAATTCATAATTCAAACTTTCATTATGAAGTAAGATTTATATTTTTTAAATAAATATTTGAATTTTTTATACAAATTATAATATATAAAAATTTACTTTAATTATTTACTCTTCCATTCATATGATTTACCGTAAAAGAATAATTTCCTTACTGTATTAAATAAAAAGTTTCGTGATTTCTTAATGAGAAATGAAAATAAAAAGTACGGCACACGAACTACGTTATTAAAAAAGAATAGTTTTTTTTTAACATTCCAATGCAGTTTACCGATCAATTGATTAAAAAAACAATTTATAATCCGTTTAATAAGAGGAAAATTGCGGTTGAACTATTTTCATATCTGTAGAACATATTATTAAAAAAAATTGCTACTTGTACACTTTCGATCTCTAATATTTATAAAAATCACTATATTAAAAAAATATTTTTAAAAATTTGAAGATGAATATGAAGGAGAGAAATAAAGTCTTCGATTTATTAGTAGACCCTGCGTTAATTTTAGTAAGTAAGTTTATATTAATTATTATCATTATAATTATAAAGAAGAAAATGAGATGTGAATTATAAGATCATCTCATGTCAACTCTATCACTACCACATGTCTTTGATGTTAATTATATATGTATGAACAAATCGCACGATAAAGCAAATAAACTAGCACAATGTACACGTACTATAACAATTTTAAAAACAATTTAACAAATATTTCACTATTGACGTAAAAAACTTATAAAATTCTACTAAAACATAAATTGTAGATTCATATAATAAATAAATGCATGATCTATCTATTATAATCTCCCCGACCTATAAACGCACATGCACCTATTGATATTTATTTAAGTATAACGAATTTTCTGTCTCATTCTATCAACGAGACTTACTGTAGAAACTATATCTATATTTAAAATATGCATATGCACATGTACTTTCCTTAAAATTTTCAAGATATAATATATGGTGTAAAAAAAAATTAATAATATGCTAAAGTAAGAAAATGTATTGCTACGTGCAAATAGAATAAAACTCCATAGATTGTCTTAACAATTAACTTCAAGTAATGTAATAACATATAAATCCGACTTAATAAATACAATTTCATTGTTAAAATAATTATGAAAAAATTGAAGTATATAAACGTTTAAAATTCAATTATATAGTTTGAAAAATAATAAGAAGCGATAAACCATTCGCGAATATTTTTATTAAAAGTAACTAATCTATAATAAAAAAAATCATTGAAATAATTATTAATAAAAACATCAATTTTTATTTCAATCTCAAAATATAAGATAT